CCCCAAAACCCCAAAACCCCGGGTAATTACAAAACACTAATTTGAAAGTAAAACAAATAATATTGATAATTAAAAAAATTCAAAAATAAACATCGAATTAAAATGGACATACTAGATGAGAAAGAAAAAAGTCTAGAATAGGTCTTTGATATAGACCATAAAAGGAAATTCAAAGAGGTGAATGATGACTTCACTGAGATGATATCTTTCTTGGATTTCAGTTTTGAAAAAGCTTTTGAAAGGAGAGAAAAAGACTTCATGCTAGCATACAGGGTAAGAATAACCATTAAAAAGCAATAAAGTGAAATTTAAAATAACTTGATAGGCTCATATTGAAACAGTTTAAAAAGACATTGAAGAACTCAAATCAGATTCTAATGATCAGAAGTATCTTGCAATAAAGAAGTAAAAGATTGAGTTGCTTGAGAAAAAGCTGCATAAGATTAGAGAGTGTGCTCTCTTTCTTGGAGATATGTCTGAAATGCATAAGAAACAAATCAAGAAACTTAAAATGAAAGTTGATGAGCAGGAATCAGATAAGAATTTCCTGGAGAAGTAAATCTCTAAAGCTAGGGATGTAAATAAGAAAGTAAAGGAAGACTTAAGTCAAGCTACTTCAGAGTACGATGAGTTATATAAATAAGCTCAATGGTTCATTTAAAACTCTCCAGATCATCATAAAATTGAAGAACTCTTATCCCTGCTTAATCAGACTGATCGTGAAAGATTGCTGATTGATAATCAGAATAAGACATAAAAGGAACTTAATGAAAAACAGATTATGGCAGCAAAAATATAAAAGTACGGGAACGCTAAACTGCTAAATTTTATGAAGACTTTATGGGAAATGAAAATTAATAAAGATCAATTCTCTGTTGAGATTGAGCGTTACTTTTTCTATCACTCTCTGAGAAAGTCAAATGTTCATAAGTTAATAGAAGATTAGCTTGCTATAGAAAAAGATAATCAAAAGAGAATTGAGTAATTGTAGGAACATAATGCTTAGTAATAAAAGCAGAATGAAAGCGATCTGTTTTTGATGTTCTAGCAACATATTAATGAATTGAGAGAGGATCTAAGATAGAGAAGAACTTTAAATTAACTTAAAAATGTTAAAAGTATCAAGATCAGGACTGATTAAATAGAAATACCAGATATCTCAAGTATCCAGATAAATTAGTTCAAATCACAAGATAAGAAAAAGCTCTTGGAAAAATTTATTTAAGATGAGTGAGTACAGTAATCAATTAAAAGAATAATAGCAAACTAGTAATTGATATAGTAGCAATAGATGCAGTTGATAGAAGCATAATAGCTTTAATAGCATAGGCCATCAACTTCAGGAAATGATTCTTTCCTTAACCATCTTTACTAGAATACTACATAGAGTACCAATGTCTATGACAGAATCTTAAATGAGCCAATCAAGACTTTAATGAACAACAAGTCTTTCAATGTTAGCAACAGACCCAATTCAAATTATAAGCTAAGCAGGCTATATAGTGGATAAAAAAGAGAACTTAATTAAAAAGGGTCATCTAACAGATTAGTTAATCAGACACAGATTAATAATAACAGCGGGTAACTTGAAAATGCACCACAATCTTATTACTCTAACAAAATACCAGCTTTGCATGACAAAAGAAGGATGACTGCATATACCTAGATGCAAAACGCAGATATCATGATTAGAAGACCTAAATCATCCCTACCATATAGAGGCACAAGAAGAAATTACAACAACTCTAATACCACAACCATAATGAGGGATAATAATAATATAAGCATGATAAATCAAAACATCAGTGCACTGAATGATTCCAGCAGGCCAAATACTCAGCCCATGAAGATTATATGAATTGATTCTGATAATATTAAGATAAATATCTTATAATTACAATTTACTATAATTTAATTTAATAATTATGGAATCTTTATCTTAAAAGGTCAAGGTGGCCTTGATTGGTGCTACAGGAGCTATCGGAAAAGATATTGTTAGACATGCTCAAAATGATGATAGAATAGAGGAGTTAGCTTTAATAGTAAGAAAAAGACTTGAGGAGTGGAAAGATGAGGATTTCAAATGCAAGCTTAGGGTAATAGAAATGCCAAACTTTGATGATATGACGTAATTAGAGACTGAGCTACAAGGATATGACTCTTTTATGTGCACTCTTGGAACAAGAACTAAGATGGGAGAAGAAATATTCAAGAGGGTAGATTATACCTATCCATTGGAGTTTGCCAAACTAGGGCAAAAGATCGGCATTAAACATTACGGCCTTTTGACATCTACCGGGGCTAATGCAAAATCTTGGTTTTTATATATGAGAGTAAAGGGTGAAGTTGAAAATTCTGTTAGAGCACTAGGTATCAGAGATCTTAAGATATATAGACCTGGTCTTCTCCTAAACAGAGACAATGATGCTAGAATAGGCGAAAAGATAGGATCATGGGTACCTTTCCTAGCCAAAATAGAAAGTAGAGATGTTGCTTAAGTTATTCTAGAGTATGCTATCTAGGCTAAAAGCACTGAGCCAAAAGATTATGAGCTAAAAACGAACGCAGACATTAAAAATTATGCGACCGATTTAAATCTCAATAAGAATTGAACTTTAAGAAAGTATTATTTAGCTAATTCTTTTGCTTTTGAATAAAGAAATCATTTGTTTTTCTTCAAATAGATTCTGAAAAGCATAAGTGGGGTTTTGGGGTTTTGGGGTTTTGGGG